GGAGAGATACGGACATAGTCGCCGAGACAGAAGCAAAGACGGAGGCAGCTCCCAGGGTGATGCAGAGAGATACATGGAGACAGCGTCGCGTGGACCCAGCCAGCGAGAGGAGAGGTGGACAGAGCCTCAGGAGGAGGAGAAGGGAGCCTCAGTGCGGGAGATACAGAGGGAGGGGAAATCGAGCCACTGCAGGGGAGAAGCGCGGAAGCAGAGATGCAGAGATACAGGCTGAGCCACGCTGCACAGTCACATACACGGGGGCCGGCTGGGAAGCGGAGAGAGCATCTGCGGTCTCCGTTCCTCTCTTAGGCAGAAGTGACAGCTGAGGTGGAGGCAGAGAAGCTGCCCCACGCTGACCACGAGGGGTGCGGGCAGAAGGCAGTGAAAGGTGCCGGTGTGTAAACCTCATGGGCCCACTCATGCTGGAGAAAAGATGCCAGTGTAGGCTCACAACTCACAATCATGTGGGCTCGCACCCGAACATTCTCGGGCAGCCCCTGGACACAGAGAACCACATGGCGCACTAATAAATACAGAGGCTGATGGATACACAGGCTAACCCCAGGCATATGAGTGACTGCAAATATTCACATCGTCAGGCAGACACAAGGAGAGTTAAGCCTTGCAGAGGGGCGGCAGCCTGCACCAAGGCCCTGGGCACGTGTGTGGTCACTCAGACACACAAATGCTCCTGTGCTAAGTCTCACACATGCACAGACACCGACAGGTCAGGCTACGTGGGTGTGATTGGCCAATGGGCATCAGACTTCTCTCTCTCTCTCTCTCTCTCTCTCTCAGCCACACACACATCAGAGTAACCTTTGTAGCAGTGAAGACATCAGCCTACTCTGGACAGGGCTGGACTGTGGGGCCATGAAGGCCTCAGCACATCAAGCCCCAGCTTGGGTCCAGAGCCTCCCCTTGGAGCCCAGCAGGGCAGAGGCCCGGTTGGAGGAGTCACGCCTGCTGTCCCCTGGCTGGGGGTGGGCAAGACTGCTGGGTGCCCCCCTCACCTGCAAAGTGGAGTAACCTGGTGGCTGCCTGCATGCATGCTGAGAGCAGGTCCTCCGCACAAGCCGGGTGTCACCTGAGCAGCGCTAGCAGGTCCAGTTAACAGTGTGCGCGGGCTGAGAGCCTGGGCCCCCAGACGCTTAGGGAGCACAGAGACACAGCTCAGGGACCTTGAGTTAGCAGGACCTGGCTTTTAAACCTAGATCTCCCAGTGAGAAACTGCGTGGCCTTGGACAAGTCATGTAGCCTCTCTGAATCTCAGTTTCCACCTCTGAAAGGTGGGAATGATACTTATCTTGTAATAATACTGTGAAAATTCCTGAGATAACCTAAGGAAAGCACTAGAATGGTGTGGCGTAGAGGAAGGGCTCAACAAACAGAGCTTTTAGAATTGTCATATGCTCCAGTGAGGCAGACGTGCATCCCTCCTTCCCTCTCAGAGCACACTCATGGACAAATCCACAGCTACACACAGACACACACGCAAGTATCCCAGCACAGGGAGGTCCTTGAATGCCTGTGCACTCGCCCTCCCTCTTTTTCCCCGCACCTGACTCCCTTCTGGCCATCCCACCTCTCCTCCAGTGTCTTCTTTGGCCCCTCCCACCACCATCCCCAGGGTGGGATGCTCTGTGCTACCCCAAACAGAACACAGAACACTGCTGATCGCCTGCCAGTCTCCCCGACTTGGCTGAGGCTCCCAGTGGGCAAGGGCTAGGCCTTCATCTTTCCATCTCCAGTACCCAGGGCAGGCACTCAAATGTTTGTCGAGTGACCAAATGAATGAGTGATCCGTTTTTGACGAAAACACAAATGACATGAATCCGTAGAGAAATCAGGGGCTCATTGCCTCGTAAGCACTGAGGGAGGCATCGCCATGCACACGTGGACACGTGGTATGCTCCTTCACAGGAGGTGTACACAGGCAGTCCCAGGCCCAGGTGTTGCTGGGCAGGTGAGTACAGCTGTGCCGTGGGAGGTGAGACCTCCCACTGTGCACCCCGACAGCGTGCATGTCACTGAACAGCGTGTAAGTGGTTTCAATGGGAAGAATGGCCATACTCCCAAAGGGAATCATTTCCATTTCCATGGCTGCCGACCGGGGTCACCCACAGCTCACGGATGCGGGAGGAGCACACAGAACTCCCAGGCACACTGACAGACCCCTGTCCGCAGACTCGTAGACACACACAGATACACACAGACACACGTCCTCCTTCCCTGTCTCCAGGGCCTACAGAATGGTGAGTGGAGAAAGGAACAGGTGCATATCCAGATGACCGGCAGAGGATTGAGAAGGTGGGCGTTAGGAATTGTGGGGGGCAGAGCCTGAAGGAGAAAGGCTTGTGAGTGAGAGGGTGTCAGGAGCAGGGCTGGGCCAACGGCAGAGAGGAGAGGGGACCTGAGCAGATAAGAGTCTGAAGGTTTCGGACTAGAGCTGAGACGGGGGAGGAGAGCGAGGCTCCAGCAGGCAGAGGAGGGCTGGGGGTGCCTGTAGGGAGGGAACCCTGGGTGGGCAAAGGGGTTGGAAGAAGAGGCGAGATGGTGCTGGGGTGACTGGAGAGAAGGGAAGAGGGGGTGTGGGGCTGCTGGGGGCCGATCCGGCTGCCGCACCAGGGGCCACCTGTGAGGTCACCTGTAGTGCTGCTGGTAGACAGGGGCCACTGGCCAGGGTGAGACACGGACGTGCCTGCAGCCAGAGCAGTGGTGGGCTTGGGAGCCTGCGGCGGGTGGAAGGGGTGGGCGGTGGATCAGGGCCGCAGCTGGTGGTGGGCTGGGGGAGTGTGGGGTAGAATGAGGGGACGGGAGGGTATGGAGGGTGAAGGGAGCTGAGACAGCTTGGAGAAGTGGTTTAAATCTCACTGTTAAATGCGTGTGCCGGGCCACCCCCCTAAATGCCTCATAAACCCCCGCTTAACCCGTCCCTCCCACTTCTAAACCACCCTCTAAACCAGTAACCAGCCGGCCGCTGCGGCCTCCCACCCACCCCCGAACTTAAACCTGCTAAACGCCCCTCCCCGCCCACTGCCCCACTCTGGGTTGGGGAAGGAAGCCGGGCCAACAGCTTGAGCACAGATAAACCTGTTTAACCTCTGACCTTTGACCTTCCAGCTGCCCTTTCTTTCATTCCCCTTTCCTTTTCTTCTTTGTCCCTCTTTTTCTTTGGGTCGCTCCGGCCCCCCCAGGGTGGGGCTGGCTCTGGATGGGAGCCTAGGGAGGGGATGGGAGGACGAGGGGACCACGTTTCTTCTCCCGCCTGGGGTCGACCTTCCCCCTTTCCGTTGGATGTCGCTGCTTACTCTGAGTCTCCTGAGAAATGCGTAATTGCTTTTCTAACTCCTTTGGACTTCGCTGCCTGAGAAACCTACTGTCTTTCTAAACTTTTCCAAGGAAACTTTGATAACGAGCGCCTGGCGATTGCTAGACAGAGAATCCCCTACCGGCTTGGTCGAGTAGTAGATGAGTGGCTGCTCGACAAAGGTAATTAACCAGAATTAATTAATTAATTAATTAACTTTAAAAACACTATCTTAAAGGTGCAGAGCTCTCTCTTTCCCCATCCGTGCCTTCCCCATCGCCCGCCCCCTAGAGAAGGGATGATTGTCCCACCAGGCTGCCCCCCGCCCCCCACCCCTCTGTAGTCAGGGAGCCCTGTCGTTTAGAGTGGTAGCTTGGGGCAGGGACAGGGGGTTTTTTTCCTAGAAGAGTTCTCTTCCCTTTCTAAACCTAGGATGAGACCGGGAAAATCCATGAGCTTCCTGAACGGGTCCGGGAGTGCAGGCTGGGAGGCGGGGTCGGCCCAGAGGTTTTGCACAAGGCCCGCTGAGGCTCAAGTGCGTGAGAGGCAGGGAGGTTCCGGGAGGCGGGAGAAGCTGGGTCCGAAACCCGAAGGAGGGTAGGAAGGCTTCACCAGGGTCATCTGAGGAGAAAAAAAAGGAGAGTGGAAGCCTCAGGTCCTACTGGAAACAGCCCCCCCCAAGAGAGTGGCTGTGGGGCTCCTCTCTCTGGAATGGGCCCACTGTGGCCCAGAAGGCCCCTCAGAACTAGCGGAGTTTGGGGTGAGGGGGGGTGGGGACTAGGGAAAAGGGGAAGAAGTGGCCGACTCACAGGGTTTCAGTGCCTCCTGAGCCGAGGAGGAAGACAGAGCAGGCCTGCGAAGAGGCTGCGTGTAGTGAGGTGCTCCTGGGTGTGAGGGAAAAGGCCACTTGTCACCAAGGGAAGTTGGGGCCAAGGGCAAAGCCATCCCATTCCCTTTGGAGAGGGGGCGAGCTCTGTACCTCTAAGGCTAAACTCTAGGGGGGACGTAGAACTGTTAAACTTCCACCTAATCAGCTGATAACTGTGCTTTTAAATGTCCATTGGGGCCTTCCCCAACTAAAACCCCCAAATGTCACTTCCAGCCCCCACACAGCCAGCGGGGACTAAACATGCTGATAACCAGATGTGATAAATCCGTAACAGGACAAAAAGTTAAAGGGACTGTAACAGACGTCGCTAAAACCTGCAGCCCCCAGCCACACTGGGTTGCTCTCTCCAGCGGGGTGAACTTTAACCCTTTGAGGAGTTCATGGCAGGTGGGGCCGCAGGGGCCAAGTTCGTTAACCTATGTAGCTTTGTCTCCATGACCCACCTCCCTCTCATGGAATCAGAGAGGCCAAGGGAGCAGCTTGGGCTGAGGCTGGGACAACTTGTGACCCCAAGGGTAGAGAGAGCAGGATAGGCCCTGGCGGAGGGTGGGGGTGGGGTGGGGCAGGACTCGTGGTCCAGATCGGGGAGGAGCTTGGGTAGGTGACTTGGAGCCCCAGCTGTCTGTCCTTCAGCAGCTGCGGGGTCACATCTTCTCGTTAGGCCTTGATTTCCTCTTCTAGAAAGCGAAGGAGTGGGTTAAATATTCCAGTATTTCTTTGACTGTGGAAGGAGGAACTAACCGAGGGGTGGCCTCGAGTCGGTCGGTTGAGGCTTCCCCTCCCTGAGCCTCGGGTCCCTCCCGGGGAGGACAGTGACAGTGATCCCCGCCCAGCCTACCTCACGGGGGGCGCTGTGAGGGGGAGATGAAACACTCAGCGGGAAAGCGTTGAAGAACACGATGTGGGCACCCTCGGAGGGGTTATTTCACTGTCAGCACCTGGCATATGGTAGGTGCTCACAGTTACTGAATGCATCAGTTTTCCAGTTCCAAAACACGTCTTGTGAAGTGTAAGTCCCATGAGATGCTTCACAAGAAAGAGACTTGTGGAATGAGCTGGGGAGATGCCGAACCCCGTTTCTCCCTCTTGGAGAGGCACAGGGACATTGGTTTGATAAAGGCTCTGAGAAGTCCCATGAGAAAGAAACCTGTGGTTTAGCCATGAAAATGTTTGCTTCCCAAACTCGTTTGATGGCTGCAAACCTTCTCCCCTTCGTTTTTCTCATCATTCTTGTGCCTGGGAGTGAACGTGGACATGGCGGTCCTCCAGGGCCTCTCTGGGTCTGACGTCCAGCTCCCACTCACTGGTTCTCAGCTCCCCTGGGCTCTAGCTCCCCTATTTGTAAGATGGGGAGGTTGCTCCAGGGCTGAGTGAGGTGCCGGACAGCGGGAGGGTGCTGGAGGAGGAGGGGAGGCTGAGCAGAGGGGCTGAGCAGACGCATCTATGGCCGGTCATCGGCCAGAGGACGACAGAAGGGCAGGTGTCCCAGGGGACTCCTGTTTCCAAAGAGAGTGTGGGTTTCACAAGTTGGACTGTCCTCAGCCCAGGTTCTGGGGGTGGGGCTCACAGGCACCTAACTCTAAACCAGATCTTTAACGAGGCACTAACCAGAGGCTAACAAGGGCTAAGCCAGGTCTTAAACCCCCCAACACCAGCAGCTAAAGGTCCCAGGGAGCAGGGGGCCAAGTAGTACTTCCTCTGCCCCCCTCCCTCCCCAAAATAAGCAACACCAAAACCAAAGTTAAATCTAAACTTAAACATAATAAATATCTTTTCTAAAAACCAAACCAAAGCAACAAACTCAGAGGGTTAAACCGACCCCCAGATTCATTAAAACCAAACCAAACGGTCAAACCCCACCCAGGTGGGGATTTGGAGGTGTAACTGCTGAGTGAGGAGCGAGATTGGAGCTGGAGTGGTTATTTTGGCTGTCAGCGAGCGAAGAAAGGTCCCTTTAACATTTTCCATCTCTGTGCTTGCACATCCTGTTGGGGAGGAAGGCCTCTGCTCTTGGGGGCCTGATCCTGGAGGGGAGGAGGAGAGCGGGGAGCCTGGCCAGGGCTCAGAGGGCAGAACGAGGTCTGCGTGGCTGCTCCCACCCTCACGCACGCCGTCCTCCTCCCACGCACTGTCCGGCCGCCCCTCGGCCTCACCTCCCTCTCTGCCTTGATGCGCACTGACCGCTCAGCCCGGCGGTCTGTCTCCTCTGTCTCTACCTCTTTGTCTCCTCTGTCTGCTGCTTCTGAGGGCTTCGTGGCTCGGGGCTGGACACCGGGCGTGGGATGCTTGGGGAAGCCGAGGGAGAAGGTGGGGATCGAATGGAGGGAAGGGAAAGAAGGGGGACGCAATGCCCCTGGAGGAGAGGAGGGGGGGATGGGACGGCCCGAGGCATGAGCATGGTGGGGAGGGTGGGGAGCTGGCTCCCTTCCCAGCCCACGCGTGCCCTGGGTTCCCTCCCCCCTCGGGTCCCCGCCTGGCTGGGCTGGGGGCTGTGGCTGACAAGGACTTTCCCTTTGGTGTCTGCCCCCTCCTCATCCTCCGCCCCCCACTGGTTTCCACTTCGACTCCTTTCCTCCCCTGGATCCCCTCCATTCTCCCCACCCCCACCGCCTGTCCCTCCTCTGTCTGTCACCCTTGCCCGTTCCCTGCACCCCAGGCCGCCAGCTGACCATCTTCAACAGCCAGGCCGCCATCAAGATCGGGGGCCGGGATCAGGGCCGCCCCTTCCAGGGCCAGGTGTCCGGCCTCTACTACAATGGGCTCAAGGTGCTGGCGCTGGCCGCCGAGAGCGACCCCAATGTGCGGACCGAGGGCCACCTGCGCCTGGTAGGGGAGGGGCCGTCCGTGCTGCTCAGTGCGGAGACCACGGCCACCACCCTGCTGGCCGACATGGCCACCACCATCATGGAGACCACCACCACCATGGCCACCACCACCACACGCCGGGGCCGCTCCCCCACGCTGAGGGACAGCACCGCCCAGGTGAGGCCCCTCTGCCTGGCGGATGGGGG